CTGACATTTCCGTGAACCCCAGATGATGTAAATTAACCGGTAAATACGGTGAAACGGTCTCTATCGGATGGCACTATTGCGCGGTTCATATCCTGGAAATTCGGGCTTTATGTTGTCCTGTGTCCTTTGCAAATTTACCCAAGGGGAAATGAAAATAGTTGGGTGCAGGTTATAACAGCTAATAGCAAAATTCATTTGGAGAAGGAGTAAATTTCAAAGGTTTTGGGAGTCAATTGAGAAAAAATTGATGCTCTCATCTCAGTTATTCCCATTTTAAAATGACATGGCATTGTGTTTGTTCGTCACAGCGTACAAGGATCAATGAGAGATTGAAATGGGATTCAATATGGGAGCAGTATTCATCAAGTGTAATAGTTTAGACGGAAGCCGGATTGACAACAGTGGTTCCACGACAGTAAGCACAACAATGCTTATCCCTCGGTAATTTTAGAATTCCGGTTCCTAAACGGCTGGGTAGACACACCTGACGGGGGCGGCATCAACCACGAAATCTGTCCTGTGCTTCCAGGGAAATTTTATCGTCTTATGCTGACGCTGATTATTATATAATATTTTACCGACGAGACTCAAGTCACTCACATACACATCACTGAATCGTAATCATCAGAAATATTCATTAACATTGGTCAATTTTTAAGTACTTTGGCACTGAAAAAAAACAAACAAAAACAAATGGCTTCAATTTCTTATAAGAGGAAAGCAAATAAATTTGTTTTGACTGATGTCTTTTCATGACCGCACGGCCAGGCGCTTATCCGATCGCATTCGGGAACAGCACCCGGTTTGGCTGAGGACTGGAACAATTAAGACAATTTCAAGCGCGTTGTATGTTCTCATCTGGTTGGGTTAAATCACTCGGTGGATGTGGCAGGCGCGTTCCGACCGATCCACAAGGTTCGATGTAAGCAATCGAGAGCAGTGAAGCATCGAATCTTAGCCACGGCCGAAGCCGTAAGCATTCGTATTCACAGCTCCTCCCTCCCTTGTGCGCAAAGAAGAAATTTGTGAAAGCACTTAATCTCCCCTGGCCCACCCACTTCAACCACTCCAACACGTATGCAATCACTTGACTTTGTTTCTTCTTTTCTTTGTATTGCACTCACTACTTCCTGATGAATAATAGTAAGTAGAACAGTTAAATTGCACAGCAATGGTGATTATCTTTTGTGCGGTTACCGAAACCGACAGCTGCGGTTCGTTACATTAAATGCCTTTCCCATTTTCAATGGTCGTCTACCTTCAGGGTTCCGTAGATTTGTTTTGCGCAGTTATTCAATCAATAAAAAGTAGTCCAATTGTAGAAGAAAAATAGAATTGATTGCTAAAGATTAAACCCAACAACTACAAAAACTACTACTACTACTACTACTACTACTACTACTACTACTACTACTACTACTACTACTACTACTACTACTACTANTGTTCTTAGTACTCGTGGTGATTACAGTTCCCTTGCTGATGCACGTAATAATTTGATCATTATAACTACTACCGGTGCTAACGGAAAACCTAAATCCCCCGACCAGTTCCAAGAACTCATGAGCGTCGAACATAAATACATGATTGAATACCATTCGATGCAAACGAAAAAAGACACGATGGTCGCGCAGAACGCGGTGCATCTTCACACACACACACACACACACACACACACACACAAAGGTACATGTAACTGAATGCGACGGAAGCAGGTCGCCCTCGGACTCACCCGTTGATCCATACGAATATTCGCTTCACAGTCCAAATTTTCCGGCACAGTATAGCTAAACTGATGCGGGATAGTTAACCTGAGCCAGGCCGCATAAGCGTTCTCGCCCAGATTGCCCACATGCACGGTCAGGTTGCGCTGACTGATCCGTTCACGAAAGTAGACAATCTGATTCTCTGTCGGGCCACGCGACTGATCGGACAAGCGCACTTGCAATTCAGCCATACAAACATTATCCGTACCGCAAGCCGGATTTGCGAAGCGTAGAGATCGACTGGCAAAATTTCGTTCACCCAAAAACGGATGCAAGTTCCATGATGGAACCGGCTCCTTGACAGATTCGCTCACATGGGGCATCGGGTCGGGGATTGGGGTGATTGTTGCATTGATACGAATCGGTTTCCACAACAAAGCCACCACACGATCCAGGACCGGTTCTAATCGTAGACTGAGAAGTGTCAAACGATTTGAGGATTCCATCAATTTGCTCGGACGAACGGTAACAACTGTATCCACATAACCGAAGGTGATGGAATTGGTTGATTTTTTCGACAGTTCAGTCAGATCCAGCCCGGATAGACGTTTCGCCGCCAGTTCTTCCATACCCGCGTCCAAATCTGTTCGTACGCGTAGTTTGAATCCGGCCGAATTACGCAACACGGCTGGTCTGCCATGTACGGCCACGGTGAGACGAACCTCGAACTGGCAAGGTGGACCGCACGGTGTTTGGCCGGGACCGGACCAAGGGAGTGTTCGGGCCAAAGGTAAATCCCATTGGGGTTCGTCAAACCACAGCGTGTTTCGAGCACGAATCACAGTTACCTGAAGTGAATTGGGTGAACAATATAAAATATAACTTTCAAGATGAGTTGAATATTCTTTGAAATTTATCAAAAATTTCATAAAGATCTCATATTACATGTCTGAATTGTATAATCCGGTGCTCCATGTGTGATTTAAAGTGGCAAGCTTGGATTAGCCCATTCGATTGTTTTAAGAGGCACCAGACACTCTTGATGGTCTTGGGTGTGTGGGTTTCACTCCTCGGGAGATTGTGGGGAAGAAACGATCTCCCAATGAGTGAAACCCACACACTGAAGACCATCAAGAGCACCTGATGCCTCTGACTAATCGAATGGGCTAATCTAAGCTTGATACTCTAAATTTGTATGTGTGCACTGTATGCTTTCATGTCTTTTGTTCAATCATCAATTACACTCTCGATCACACGCTTTTCACGTTTTATGATCGACAAGTTGTACTTCATGACTGAAATCTAAGTGTTTAAACCCACAGAACGCTTACAAAACATCGATACCAATTCCCTTCACCGAGCTTCGTGTGGTCTTCTCATTTGATTTGACTTTAGTACACGATTTAATCATGCACTCGCAAGTCTGAAAGATGGCAGATTTTTCTCGGCCATACACATTCGGGTTTAGCTTGTGCCGGATATGTGGTCCGTCCCGGTCATACAAGTTGTACTGACCACGTCGAGTCAAAATGGGTCACTCAAAGCAAAATACGTCACTATCCAATCATTTTATGTTTTTTTAGTGATTTTTTACTTACTTCCCATACTCCTCTAAATCTTTTCTTTTTTAATCAAAAAATGAATTAATACGTCAAATGACATCCGTTGTAGACTATATATAGATCACTTTGTTTTCATTGGGGGCTGGTGGGGTTTGTTGAGGATAATATAACGAACAGCTTTTTCACTTCGCCGTCATTTTAACACCGTCAGTTATCCCGTTCAGTAAAAAAAATAAGTCACACTAGAAATGATTGGACCTTCAGAACAATCTCCTATCCAACTGGATTAAGAAAGGGGAATGTTTTCTTGTACACGTGACAGACTTTGGCTATAGGCACAGACGCGGTATCCGGAAATGAACTTAACGGGTTCGGTGAGTGGTACAGTAATGATCCTCCGGGCTTCTGTGAGCAAGATGGCTACCAGACTGGTCAGAATCGGGTCCGTTCAATGAAAAAGTCACGTCACGTGGCCCACTCAACACGCTACCAATAAAACCCGGAAGTCGCAAGTCACACCCTACAGGGTCTAATACTGTAAGTTTGTGTTTTCCAATACACAAGTAAACCAATAAATACGGGAACTATCACTTCAAATAGTGAAACAAATAATTATGCATGATCACTGGTCAGAGAAGGAACTCACTTGATCCGACTCGAAATCCCCGACGACCAGATCGGGAGCTCGATTCCCGTCCAAATCGGTACCACCGGATAAGCTCCATCCAAAACTCTGAAACGTTCGCGGTCCGATATCTTCTAAACCGAAATCGCCACAGGTAGTCAAGGGATTGTCTTTTGGCAAATCACTTGCCCATATAACCTGATTTGTGAAAATAGATGAACAACGTGCGTAATCCGATCACGCCCCCAGGCCCAGAGAAACATCAATCGAGCTTATGTTAGATAAATTTTGGCGGTTCATTTTAGATGATACTATAGTTGTACGGTTGTATGAATTGATGCACAACTGAGGAAGCCTGTGACGACGGATCACGTATTATCGTGTCTAAAGAAGAGATTGAATTAAACCGTCAACCCGATTACGCCTCAGAATTCAGTGAGTTCTGCGAGCGAGATCCTCAATGGATGTCTAAAGAATCGTATTGTTGATCATATTCAACAATGTTGAAGGATTTGAACGCAGTACTACCCAGGAATTTCATTTCCGGTCTCCTTTGGTTATCCACTGGCATGTATCCTATGTGATCTGCATCCAAGCAATTTGACACCATAAACTAATTTCCGCTTTTGATGGTTCGTATACCTCCTATACCTATGAAGAATATTGGCTTGCTTAGGCGAGTCTTTATTATAATGGAATCAATGTTGTTCCCACTTTTGCTGTTCAGTTTGGAGTCCATGGTTGCAACGTGCTTGTAAGATACTGGAGTGTTCACAAAGGATTGCCCCCAAGATGGTGAACGGGTTGAATGGCTTCACCTATGAAGAGAGATTACAATCAACGGGATTTTATTTTGTTCGCCGAATTCGGGGAGACTTGATTTCACGTATGAAATACTTGCGAAACCAAACCATTCATGTTGGCCTACTGTTCACATTGTCATCCAAGACATAGCGTAGGGGACATCGTTTCAAGCTACTAATTCCGAATTGTCGAGTCGAATACCGGCTTCATTCTTTTGCGGTCAGAGTGTGCAGCACGTGGAACTTCCTTCAATCACACGTCGTTGACACACTAGCCGTTGAATCTTTCAAACGGAGATCCAATGAGACCGCTCGGCACATTTTACAATTCTGGACAACTACGAAAACGCAATTTACTTCATGGCTATATTAGCTGTTATCTCCTACCGGGAACTATGTGTGATATTTTATCATTATTTTTTGGTAAAAAAAACGATTCTATGGGGACAGAGGTCTGCATTTTCCTCTTCTCCCATTAGTCCGTCTTCCCCTTTTATTTCGGTCACAAATATTCACTCATCCTGACCAGATAATTCCAAGAAAAAAAGGTTTTCAACGGCCGGGACGCAATACATAGAAGAATTTGACGGAAACCCTACTTTGGACTCGCTCGTCACGATGTTTGGATGCCAATAAAATCAAGTCAGTCTTTTGGTTAAAGAAAAGTTGACTAGATTGGAGATATGAGCAATGTCCTTTGGCACAGATGTGTTTGGATTGAAGACGGGTTCAATATGTGTGTCAGTCGATCAAAATTTACGTTTTCTACAAAGCTGTCCAGCGGCAAAGTTCGACAAACAAATCAACTTCAAAAATACATTCGGTTGTTTCTAATGGATATAAACAAAAAACCTCAAGGGGTTTTCCACCTACATTCCCTTATGTCTGTGTAGAT